GCAGAGGCACGTATTGCCCGGAACGCGGGTGATTTCCGACTGCTGGAAGGCATATTTCAGACTGGCCGATTGGGGGTTCGAGCATCAGACCGTAAACCACTCGAAGAATTTCGTCGACCCCATTACTGGAGCGCACACGCAGTCGATCGAGAGGCAATGGAGGTCGGTCAAAGACAAAAATCGCCACCGACACGGGACCCATCGTCACACCGTGGATTCGTACCTCGCGGAACACCTTTGGCGTGCTTCCCTCAAGGCGAGGGATCCCTTCGAAGCGATACTTTCTCTTTTAGCAAGCAAGCAATCGCCACAATAAATTCGAAAGGTCCATTCTAAACTTATATTGCTGTGTTTTCACTTGATTCACTTGATTTGACCGCCTAAGCATTCAGAAATGTAATCTGGATGAAGAAGTGCTCAAATCCGCGTAAGGATTCGGCGCCGCGCCGATTTTAGACGCCATTTTGGCGACTTGAGCGTTGGCCCGCCAAAGACCGAAGTACCGTGAATTTTGATTTGTGCGCGCGCACACGCATCCGAACGAGAGACGAGGAAGATATTCTAACGGCATCTCAAGTTTAGCGGTTGACTTTATTCGCACGTGGTTCATACTCCGAATCAGGCGTGCGTAGTCTGGATCGCCGTGTTGTAAGGTGTCTCATTCAATCCCTGAGTGAACTTCACATCAGTTCCGAAGATGTTTGACGGTGACTTCAGTCCATCAACATCGCGGACCGGTGACGATTATGACGAATTCGACGATCTGAATTCGCTCGGAGAAAAAGCTACATCGTCGAGATTCCAAGATGAAAATCAACCACCGAAAGCGACGAAAAAGCGAGGCAAGTTCATTTCCATAGCTCATCATGGAATTCACTTGATGTTTGTCGATATGCAGTCCAAAAATCGTCACCTCAAAACTTCAGATCGAGAAAACAGAACGGCATTGATAACGAAGAAACCCAAGCTCTTTAAGAATTTGGAGATGGGTAAACACGGCGGCATAGTTCATGGCAGAGTACTGTCGAAATCCAATGTGAAAAATTGGCAGACGAACGGAAAAGATGGGCAATTGTGTTCGTTCGTCATGGAAGATAGTTCAGGCTCGGTTCAAGTCGTGGCTTCAGGGGAACGATGCGTACCGATTCATGATGAAATCCAAGTTGGGAAGTGACGAATCAACGCCTTCAATTTACACGAGAGCAACGCATTGTTCAACAAGACGAATAACCCAGTTGAAATTCATTTGACCAAGGTAAAAAATTTGGAAAATATGACGTCGGATGCAAATGTGTGAAGCTGCTTCCTCTGTCATCTGTTATCTCTGAGGAATTGCGATGAATCAACAGCATATTGTTTACAGTTGAGTCAGATAAAAGCCATCCAAGGAAAAAATTTGCCGAAGACAACGATTGAAAGCATCACAATCGCCGAAATCCTTCATACAGAGCAAAACAAGCTGATTGATCTCATCGGAATCGTCTATGACATAGGGCCATCACAGAACCTGTCATGTAGGGACGGAATCGTTCGACAGAAATACAACGTAAAGATCGTTGACGACTCGCTTAAAGTCGTCAGTCTCGGAATATGGAAGAACTCGCACAATTTCGCGAATACAGAAGGCAAATGCCTTGCAATGAAAAACCTCATCGTCAGGGAATATGCCGGAAAGAAGGTCTTAGCTACGACGGACAGTACTGTCGTCAAACACGAACAGGATGATGTTAACATGAAACGATTGCAAAACTGGTGGATTCGCGAGGGCCAGTATGAGGAGTTCGAGGAGCTGGAAGTTCCCAAACAACTCGCTACTCCAACCCCAAACGGGGAGTGAGGTCGAAATTAATGCTTTCAGACCAACGAGTTCCACCTTTCGCTCGCGAGGGGACGCTTGAAGTTTGATTCCATGAACGAATCGCAAAGCAAGCGACTCAATGGAGATATTGATCCCAGCCTTTTCAACATAAGTTGAAAATCATGATGAAAGTTCGTAAGACCGAACTCAACAAAGCGACAGGAATTCAATTTGCAAGCCAGCGAATGAATCGCGCAGAGACACGGTCGATGGAATACCAGATTCCCAAGATAGGAATCAACAAACTGATATCGCGATTTCATCTCGGAATCCACGAGTAAAACTCGCCAATGGCGATGATCGGGCAACAAAGACATATG